CGCAGCCTTGATCCGTAACCAACGACCCAGTTCTACATGCGCTATGATTAATCCTTTCTACCGATTCGCGCGGCGCGCCGCCGCTCGATAAACCGAGCATCGCGTAACAATAACAAAAAACTCGAAAGTCAGCGCGAGCCGATCGTGTTCCATCGAAAAATCGGATTGATTTATTTACAAAACTCTAATTAAAACTCTGGTATCACGGGTATCTCTCCGATCGTCTTATCCGATAATCTTGCGAAAATCAACAACCGATGTTTAAAGATCTCTCAACGAACGCTTAATTAATCTGCACTTCCAATAAATATATTTCACAATCAACATACCACGAACATGAAACGACTCGAATGAAACGAAACAAATAGAAATCTATTTGAACGAAATCTAACGTACTCTCTGTAGTTACGATTACTTCAAACCTGTACCTCGGAAAATATTTCATCAAACTGCCTGCATTTATTTTTAACGCGTTTATTATTAACACTAACTGTCACGGTAGTCACCGACGAACGGAGCGTCCGAATTACTTGAAAATTGTAATTCGTAAGATGGCGTCGATTGAAAATGTTTAACGCTGGATTTACGGAGCTCGTCAATTCGATGGATGAAATTTTCTAAACGTTATTCAGTAACCGTTTAAATTAATTTTCATTGATGCATTATACGAAGTATAATATTGAATACCAAACTTTATAGCTTCACTACAGGAAATCGGTGGAAATAAGTGCAAAGGGTTAATTATTCAACCGATCCGACGTAAGTACAGCGTCGTACGCGTACCCTAATTCCGATTCAACTTTCATCTACTTCTGCCATCGTTTCGCGCTTTTCCAGGTGGTATTTTTAGCACGTGCCGGTGCCTCGCACCTTCTCCATCGATTCGAGCACCTTTCCACGGGGCTGGGGGCGGAGGAAAGACGCGTCAACTCGGTATCAACGGTTACAACGGGAACTTTCGACCGACTCAGAACTTCCAGTTTCCTCGGAAGTTTCTTGGCTTCTTGGGGTGAACGGTGCGAATGTCGATCTACTTCTTCGTCGAGTACGTTTCTTTCTTAATCTAGTTATCGCGTGTTTGTTGTTGAGATAAACTTATTTAACTGGAGGATGACGGGCGTTTAGAATGCGAGCACTGTGAGACGAGACAGTTACTGTAGAGTTTTGTGAGTTTGACTGAGATTTTGTAATCATTTACATGGTGCGTTTATAATAACAATAGTATATCAAATTTACTAAATTTATTGTTAATAATGATATATTAATCAATTTCTCTTTCAATTGACATTTATTCGAATGCAGTGAATAAATTTCAATTTTTCTTTCAATTGACATTTATTCGAGTGCAGTGAATATCTAGTTGCAATCGATGCAATTGATGCAGTTACCGTCGAGTAAATTTCAATTGAAGGAAAAATTGATTGGAATATATCGTTATTACCTGATAAGGAATTTAATAAACTGAATAAAGAGGAAGAATAGAGTTACCGGAGGCGAACTTGAAGCGACCAAACATAGCGCGAAAGTGATTGTAGGAGAGAAAGACTCACCCATGAGGTAATTTCGTATGGTCTTGACCCATGAGGCGACTTGCCTTGGATCCGTATGACTCATAGTGACACTGTGATGGCTCCATTTATTCTTTGGTCCACGAACTGCGTAGTGCAAAATGAAATTCGTCGGGCAGACGGTCGGCGAGGTGGGCGAGGTCGGCGGCTGTTTCTCTTTCACGTTCACCCCGGGTATCCAATCATCCCCGTAGCGCACGGCTAACACGTCCGACATGGGTAACGTCCATCTTGCTGGAAATTAAAAGGACGCGGTTCACTTTCAGCCCATCGGGGTTGGAAAAGAAGATCGTTTAACACTATTCCTACCAGTCAAACGACTGGTCTTTAGCGCAACTTATATTTTTCAATATAGAACGAAGATAACAGCCAATCTGACAGTATACAAATATAGTGTCTTTTATTTAGAAGTACAGGAAATTCTAATCGAAGTTCATGGAAATAACTCTACATATTAATTAATGAAAAGTGAATACTGCATTAAGATTGAAAGTTGATTGAACTTTATGAAAATAAAAATTAATGGAAATATTATTATTAATGGAAATATTTATAAAGATTGATATATTAATGACTCAGTTGTAAAAATCATAATAAACCATTTCTGCCGGTGTGCGTTTAGTAGTTACGATAAATCATTTTTCGTTCGGTGTTTTGTGTACGTTAAGAAGCGAAATGGAAAACAGACGGAAAGAAACGGAGCAAAATCAATGCCGCGGAGTCGGCTCGCATGAAACAAAGGCTCGGTTTACGATCCCCTAACAGCTGTCACTTAATATTGCAGCAGACCAAGACGAAAGCAGTCACAACGAATAATCGAGAGTGTTACATAATTAATGGTCGCGACCCCACTGACTATCGATCCTTAAAATTCCTTTCAAGTCCAAGGATTTATCGAGACGTCCGATGAAAGAACCGAACGTAACCAATTAGAACGTACGTGATCACTAGTCTACAACAAATAAACGAATAAACATATCAATCTTCTTATAAACTGAATTCATGGGACCGTATAGTTGATTCTTTGACACTAAAACTACCAGATGAGTCAAATTGACCCACTTCGGAACGTTTATTTCATAAGTATCTCAATTCCGAAGGTTTTCATTTCAATTTCAAGAAATCAGCGAAAGATCTTCAATTAAATTTGTGTACTCGTGTAGATACGAGATTAGGAGATCCTTCAAATCTCAAGGAACTAAGGAAATTTTTTGTAAAAATCAGGTCACTCTAATTGCTCGGTAGTTTTAGTGTTAATGACGTAGGCTTAGTTTCCAAAATACTGCGGATGCTCGATACGGATAAACATCGGAGTGAAAGATAGCACGCAGATAATCAACAGAGATAAGTTAATTACTGATAACGAACGATTACAGCTATAGATTATTCTGCGTGCTGTTCGCACGGCTTATCGGGTATTCCTTTGTCTTGTTCGACTCTTATTATCGTCGTAGTATTTTGACTGCCGACAGCTACCTTCGGACTATTCTTGAATGATTGACGTTCTACGAACATTTTTAGCTTTTCCTTAAACCTTTCAGCTACCTCAATGATCTTCGATGCTTTTTATGTAATTCCCAATCACATTCTGTTCATTCATGATTAGGTTCGTTAAGATCTCTGATTCGGTATCGATTACGAGCATTCCTTCGTCACTCGTGATCGCCGCCGTTAATCTTTTGTCTCGTTGGACTTGCGAACCATCTTGGATGATAATGGCTACTCCGACCATATCTGGTCACCTTCTCGAACCTTTTCAAATTGCTATTGTAATTCCGAGTTACCTTGAGACTATTCTCTCACCTGCTCTAACCAGCTACAATAGTATCTGTGCGTTATTGTTAGACCCCCGAGCAACCTTGATCGATGACAGCCACTCTCTGATCAGCTATAAGAATCTTATCTTACGACTTGATTGTTTTATAGATCCTTCCAGCATTTCTAGGACGTAGTCGCTATTTCCTAACGTGTCTCCTAGGTTCCTGAAGCTATATATTTCAAAACGACTGTTGGTTAACACGTTGAATGCCATGGAGGTCACTGGTGACCAATCAAATTGAATTATTATAGTTTGCTCAATTAAACGATGATTATTCGAAAACATTTGTATATTGTAAATAATACTATCTAATGCGGTACGTTCAGCTAGATGGACGTGCAGTTATAGCAATGCAATTCAATCGAATGATTTAATATTTTTTCCATTTTGTGCATTTTTCGCCATGAAATCGTGCGGCATTCAACGTGTTAACTTTCTGGGCTGACTTTCTGTTCATGATTATAACAAAATCAATGCAGTGCAAAATTAATAATCCACGTATGAATACGAGTTAACAATGTATTCAATAGTTTCAATAATTTCATCAAACGAGTATATTCTGTAACTTTCAAGCTACAATGACGTGAAACTTTCACGCCTGAGCGTATAAAAGTTTAAGTTAACTGATTACTTAATTTTACTCACCACTTTCAGTGCAAAATGAAATAAATCGTCAAGATGCCAATATACTGATATGTGACTCCAAAGTTACATGGGCCTACAAAGGGTTACAACAATGTCTAGCTTCGAACCATTTTTTAACACTATAACTACCGAGCATTTGATACGATTGAAATGTAATCGCTATAAAAATTGTAACAATAGATTATTTTCGGTTTCTTCAGACATTCATTACAGTATTCAAGTGAAACTATTTATTTTCAAAATAATTTCGAATATTCAATGCTTCGAAGATATCAATAATTGCTAAACGGAAAGACTGAAACCAGTCATTTTTATTGCTACGTAGTTCTAGTGTTAACAGCGTCGCTAGCAGCGTCGCATATTTGTGACGATCGATATTTCATATTTTGTGCAAAGAAGAGTAAATTACATTTACGCGTGTTGAAAAAGAAATTACATTTGTACTTTGTGAAGACCGTATATTTTATTGAAACAAAAAATTGCTATGAAGTCTGTTACCGAAGGAAATGCTAGCAGCAAATGAGTTAACGATAGGTATCCTCTAAGTCGCATCTCGAAAACTCGCTCATTTATTTATTTATACCGCGCTGGGAACAAGTTCACGTTATCACAAACTGATAACGCCTAGCTCGGAGAGGCGTGAACCACACGCGACTCAGCCGAAACTGATAACACAGTTGCGTAACCGATAATGGACCAGAAATCAATCAGGTGTGTTTCGATACTGGAGTTCTTCGGGCATCATTGAGAATGCTAAAGTAACACTTATGTAAATTTGTAAATTTCTATGAAGTCAAATTAACCCCTTGCGTACTATTTACTTTCGCCACTAAGTTGATGTACCATTTTACTATCGACAACTTGGAAGAAAAGCAACAAAATTCTCCATTCTACTTCAAGTGGAAATTTTATTTGAAGATAATACAATGATAATAGCAAAATAGTTTGCTTTGATGCGTGGGTAATGAAAAACATCGATTGTTGTTAAATTAGTCTAGAAATCTTCATCACGAGTCTCGCTCGTTATTGTACGGTTGAAGTAGTAAAATACACAAAATGAAAAGTATCAAACCATTCCATTGAATTTTATTATTATTGCACGTGAATCTTGTCAAATATCACTACATTAACTAGCATTATATACAATATAAAAATGCCTGCAAATAATCATTTAATTGATTGAATTACAATAATTCGATCGTGGCGTTCAACGTGTCAAAAGAGAACGTAACAGGAGAATTGAATTATCGTCAGATTACTTAATTGCTGAACTATAGTTCACTCTAATTCATCCTTGAAATTTCCGACTGATTGTTAACCAAGTTATTGAATAATTCGTTGCGCAAGCAATTTATTGGAACAGTCGAGACTGTTCCGGAAACACAGAAATGCAACGGCTTATAAATAAAATTCTAAAAACAGCTCGATCGTTCGGGTTCCTACCGATCGCGTGTCACGAACGTGCAGCTACAGTTCACGGAGCGTTGATACGTGATCGAAATAACGATCGATCGGGTGCCTCGAACTTCTGTCCACGGTCAGGTCGATTCCTTCCCTCCCCGAGCGGCGGCGAGATGCGACGGGAATGGACTTTCTCGCTCGAGCTCGCGTGACGCCTACGAATCGCTCCGAGCGAGACAAATCGCATTGTCAACAGTCCCGTTGAACCCAGAAATGACGACAGAGATTGAGAAACTTTTGATTATGCCCGCGATAAGTACAATTGAACCGGCCGCCTCCGTTCTCGCTGCGTCTTCCCATCCGTCACTGTAGATTCGAATGACTGATTAACTTCATTGGAGAATTAGTTCCATTGTCGCGATTTTTTAAAAATATTTAAAGATCTCTGACGATTTGGAGAATTCCGTGATGAACAATTTGTGGATTTTTTTAATTGAGTGGATTTGATTATATTGTGTAATATTGGTTGGCAAAATAAACTTTCGATAGCAGAATTTGTAGAAATTAAATCGGTAAGTGTGACAATATTTATCATTTATAATGAAGCGAATTTCAAGGACATAAATGAGCAATGAGAACAGTACAATCCAAACTGGATAATCGCAAGATTATTTTTTAAGGTTCCATTGTCGCGATCTTTTAAAAATATTTAAAGATCTCTGACGATTTGGAGAATTCCGTGATGAGCAATTTGTGGATTTTTTTAAATGAGTTCGATTGGTCAGGGAGATTTGATTATATTGTATAATGTTGGTTGACAAAATAAATCTTCGATAGTAGAATTTGTAGAAATTAAATCGGTAAGTGTGACAATATTTATCATTTATAATGAAGCGAATTTCGTGGACATAAATGAGCAATGAGGACAGTACAATCCAAAATTGGATAATGACGAGATTATTTTTTAAGATTCCAGTTTTGGACATTCGGAGTCGTAAAATTCAGAATAAGGTTTGAATGATTGAAGGTAAGTGGTCCCATTAAAGATCCATTAAAGGAAATATCATTCGGACTCTTTGGTTAGTCAGTATAGAATATGTCAACGCGGCAGTATTTCAAGCGTTGGAATTATGAAACGTGAAACACAGAACGGTCGTTAACAGGGAATCGTCATCGTAAAAATATTTCGCAACGAGTCGTAATTTCAAATCGATCCACGGCCAGTTAGGCTCGATCCATACTATTAAGCTTTATCAAATTTATTATTTCGAACGCATTTATTCGAATGTTTAAGTTCTAAGTGTGAAAATGAATTTCAAAGTGAAAATACTTTCAAGTTTAAAACGTTTCTAGTTGGATGCGTTCAAAT